CCCTCCGATAACCCTCACCTCAAACACGGGAACCACATCTGTATGAGAATTCAGGATGACGGACTTGAGGTGAGGCTGCGTCCCCGGCCAGGTGAGGATGAAGATCGGCTTTCCTGGAACAAACTACGAAAGACGACATATTGCCAAATATCAGAGTCATAAAGAGAACCTGTCATCACCTGTCCCCGTCTCCATGAACAAACCCCGAACATGTCACCATAGAGGGCAACAGGGTCATCGTTCAGAAACCCTCCTCCTATTATCATTACATAGCCGACCTTCAGCTCCAGTCAGTGAGATGATGTCATCAGTCTGCTGCATGCAGGAGGAAGCATTTCCTCAGTCTCCCCTCCCCCAGTGATCAGTCTGCTACAGGCAGGAGGAAGCGTTTCCTCAGTCTCCCCTCCCCCAGTGATCAGTCTGCTACAGGCAGGAGGAAGCGTTTCCTCAGTCTCCCCTCCCCCAGTGATCAGTCTGCTACAGGCAGGAGGAAGCGTTTCCTCAGTCTCCCCTCCCCCAGTGATCAGACTGCTGCAGGCAGGAGGAAGCATTTCCTCGTCTCCCCTCCCCCGGTGATCAGACTGCTGCAGGCAGGAGGAAGCATTTCCTCCGTCTCCCCTCCCCCAGTCATCAGTCTGCTGCAGGCATATACAGAACTGGGATGAGAAGATTTAATGAAATGTGAAGAACGACATCTGACTCTTCGGAGACTTTGGTAAATGAGGACTGAGGGTTTTTCTTGCTCAGCGTACCGACCTCCAGCGTTCTGCTCTCCAGGCCGATCTCTTCCGCCATCTTGAACAGGAAGCGTCTGATTCCATCTGTAATACGGGAAGTAAAAACCCCTTTAAATGGCCTTTTATTAAAGAATATGTGTTGCAGCAACTAATCATCTGTACCTATTGTGTTCCCTGATCCCCTGCAAAGTCACACTAATACCTGCTGATCCTGCCACTGAGGTCACCAATTGCAGTGATGGGGTGACAACTATGCTGCACTGCTCCTGAAATCCTGAAGCAGAGTTGTCACCCACCTATTCCTGCTTGCATTACAGTGGGGGGAGAAGATGTTGTGGGGGTGCGGCAATCAGCATTGTCACGTTAGCTTGCCAATCAGCACCTGACTACAACTAGTCCCGCCCACTGCTTTCTAGATTGACAGCACTGCCTCTGTTGCTGAAACCCTCTCACTGTGAGCTGCAGTGTCTGGGAGGGGGGAGCGTTTGAGACACAAGGAATGTTGGTACATAGGTGAACCTGCGCTCACTCTGAATACTGAATGATGTGGAAACCGGGGAAGGCAAAACATCAGAGAAGTTTCTTGTTAGGATTTGACAGCAAATGGATTTCCGGGGTGAGTAGATCCCGATGTCGGATCTCACGGAACGTTCACCTAAATATTCGTGACCAATAAATGAAAAGGTTTTTTTTAGGGTTGCTGCACCTTTAAGAGGCAGCCGTTCCTTCCACAAGTGGCTTCCTGCTGAGTGCTGAACTTTCCCCGGCTGGGATGAGCTTTGTACAGAGTCCATTACTCAGCAGCAGGGGGGGGAGGGAGAGGGGGGCTCAGTGGAGGGAGAGGGGGCTCAGTGGGGGAGGGCGCTGCGGCTGCATCATGCTCGTCCTTACCATAGTCGGGCTCGGGATGGATGCTGCGGATCCTCAGGTACTCCTGGAAGCGCGCGGTCGCCGGGTTCTCCGTCGGGTCCGTCATCTGAGGGGAGCAATATTCTCAGTACATTGAGACAGCCCGGTGATCGGCGGATTTCCACTAATCCCTGCCAGGCGTACCCTGATTATCACTGTCCTCGCTGCCGTCATGTCTGGATTTGCTGTGTCATGTTGCCCTCCGGGTTGCACCCCTCCCCCCTTATTTTCCCTCTTAGCATTACAGCTCTCAGTCCCACAATAAAAGTCCCTCGTGTGGAACTACATGTTCCAGCATGCCCCATCTCATTAGTGCTTCCTTAACTCTTACAGTGCCATAGGAGTTGTAACGCCTGCCATGCTGTAAAAAAAACACAGGAGGCGTCAGGAATGGACTACAGATCCCAGCATGGCCCTTCTCAGTAATACTTCCTTAACTCTCACACTGTTATAGAGCTCTATCAACCTCTGCACAACACAATGAACTACATGTCCCAGCATGCCTCACCTTGTAGCGGTTCCTCGCCTTCCCCCAGGACCTGCAGATCTACAACAGACAGCCAATCACAGACCATCAAATACTCCCCCAATCACTCGGAAGGGAGGCAGATCCCAGTACTGGCTGCAGCTGTCCCCCCTCTGTGACTTCCAATGTCACATCACAGACCTGCAACTTCTGCAATGTGTCCCCCAACTCTGCAGAGCCCCCCCCCAACTCCATGCAATGCCCCCCAGCTCTGATCCTGCCATCCACACACACAGAGTCACCCCTTCTACTTCCCCCTCTGTGTCCCCTTACTCACTGCTCCAGCTTCCTGTGATCACTGATCCACCCAGTGCAGAGCCCTATATACCAGAGGCAGGCAGACATCACCAATCGATCCCGAGCTCATCCACCCGCACAGAACTGTTACAATGTAACTCTCCACAATGATACAATGACACCGACAAAGGAAACGTGATTGTAAATGCTGAGATCTGAGGAGAGGGCAATTATCTACTTTTTGAAGCTCAGGTTTCTAGTTCTGCAAAAGAAGCCAGAGTTTAAAGTATATTTCCACTTTTGCTGTCAAACTTGAGAAAACCTCACTATTTGTTACCTTTTTTTTAGATGTTTCTTTGGGGAAGGCTTTTGTGCAGATTCCAGGCCACTCAGCAGTTTGAAAGTGAAACTAGAAGGTCAAACTGAGGGACAGACTGAACTTTCATTTGTAAACAAACAATGCTTCTAAGTCTTTATCACATTGTTAGAACAGACAGTATCCAAATCTATTATACTACTGATAAATGCTATCTGCCAGCACAGTACAGACAGGGTTAATTAGAGTAGATATAACTTTGTACAGCCCCCTCCATAACATTTACATGAGGGGAAGCTAGGTAAATTGTCAAGCAAATATAAAGCTCTTAAAGTCAATATTTATTATTATTATATTTATTATTATTATATTTTTTATTATTATTGTTATTATGCAGATACAGAAATTAAAATTTAAAAAAATGTTTGCGCGTGTTAAAAAAAAAAGCAGAGCGATGGGAAATGACGTCTGCTTTCCGATCACATGTATTAAAAATTGGGGAATATATTGATAAATGGCGAGTGAGTTTCATAATTCCTTCGCAGAGGACGCGCCGGGATTGTCTACTTTCAGACATTTATGATTTTGATGGTCCGCAGGCTGAAGTCTGCTAAATGGCTCAAATGGACGAATCTCCTCTGCTGGGCTGTTGCATTCTGACAGCTGGCGCCTGATCACTGACAGCTGCTGATTGGCGGCTGTCATTTTTCGGCTGACAATTTTCAGCCTGGGTCCTGAGAAAAGTCAGTTGGGAATCAACTTCGGTCAAATCAGCAAGTCCGCCCACTGGAAGAATATCGCCTAAATCCTGTCTTTCGGCTGCAAATCGAGCACTGTATGGCCAGCTTAATACACACACATGAAGGCTCCGCCCCCTTACATGCTGTGGCCACACCGGTGATTGACAGCGCCCCCTATATGGAGCCTCACTGTGATACACACAGACGAAGGCTCCGCCCCCTTACACGCTGTGGGTACACCGGTGATTGACAGCGCCCCCTATATGGAACCTCACTGTGATACACACAGACGAAGGCTCCGCCCCCTTAACGCTGTGGGTACACCGGTGATTGACAGCGCCCTTATATAAATTCTCACTGTCATATAGTCAGGTGAAGGCTCCGCCCCCTTACACGCTGTGGGTACACCGGTGATTGACAGCGCCCCCTATATAAATCCTCACTGTCATATAGTCAGGTGAAGGCTCCGCCCCCTTACATGCTGTGGGTACACCAGTGATTGACAGCGCCCCCTATATGGAGCCTCACTGTGATACACACAGACGAAGGCTCCGCCCCCTTACATGCTGTGGGTACACCGGTGATTGACAGCAGTCCTTATATGGAGCCTCACTGTGATATACTTAGATGAAGGCTCCGCCCCTTACATGCTGTGGATACAATGGTGAATTGCAGTCACCTGACCACTTTCTACCAATTATAATAAAAGAATGTAAAGACTTTTTCTATATTATTGTTGTCATGGTTACAATGTATCACCTCTCTGTGTGTATTCCTTTAAGACTCGGCCCAGGTTGGGGATTCTCTTCCACTGTAATGGATAACTGTATCCGTAATCATTACAAGAACCTGTAACATTCGACCCGATCTTTGTATGATCATTATGATGTTTATTACTGGTGTTGGGAGACATACTCCATGCAGCCCTCTGCATTTTTTTTTACATACTGTACATCTGAATGGGTTGCATAACATGATCATGTGATTCCAGAAACCTCGGCAACCCTTTACATAGACGTTGACTTCCTGTTTTCTGGGGTTCTGAGACTCTGCGCTCACCTACACGGCCATAAGTCTGTCTAAAGCCAAAGAAAAATTGGTATGGAGTGGGGGAGCGGGGTTTGGCTGGGGGGTTAGATCCTCTGTCTGGTGATTTCTGCCTTCTGTGCTGGTGATATTCCCCCTCTCCTGGTCCTGGTGACCGTTGTCACTGGGATAGAAAGTAATGGGAATCCCAAAATATGACAGTTGTCACCAGAACAGGAACAGAGGGGAAATCTTCCAACGGGGACACCTCTTCTGGTGACAACTGTCTAGAGACTTCC